GGAGCTGCCCGCCCCAGCGAGTGTGTCCTCCGCCCCCCCCCCCGGCACCACCCCCAGTGCCAGCCCTGGCCTCAAAGCCTGGCCAGAGTAGCCGAGTGTGGCCACCTTCCCGCACAAGCTGCCCCATCCCTGCGATCCTGGAAGAGGCCCTCCTTTGAGACGGCTGCTTCGGGAGGGGGGCTTGCTGGCCCCCTGAGGAGGCCTCGGGCGGGCTGCCCAGTTGGCGGGGTCTCTGCCATGGTGGGCGCCCTCTGCCGGCAGGCCAGGACCCCCTCCTTCAGCAGGCCTGTGTGCAGGTTGGCTGGGCTGCATTCTCGTTGCGTTATTCTTGGCTTTGAACGCATGTGTGGTATAATGCCCTTGCCTTTTACTTATTTTTATTTAATTTCTGTACCGCCCAACAGCCGATGCTCAGTTTTAGATGGAAAGGCACCTTCATACCAAACAACTGAAATAGAGTCGATCCATCAGTTCTCCCCTTTGACGTGGGGCTCACGGGAATCTCCCCCCCAGGTATCCATGGACACCTGGGGCAGGTGGGAGCCCCTTCCCCACCTGCCTCTTTGAGATGGAAAGCTCTTTGGACCAATGGCCAGGCAAGCCCGTCTCCGGTGCACATGGCCCAGGCAGCCAATCCAAAATCTTCCTAGAGAGAATTTCCCCCTTGAGTGCAGTAAAGGGGCCTACCAGCTCGGGCTGGTCGGGCTGCTGCAGAGGGTTAAGCTGGCAAAGCGGACCGGGGAAAAGCACGCCGGGACGTCCTCTGGACACGGCGAGCGAGCCATCTGGTGCCATCTCAGCCCGAGCCTACTCACCACCCAAGCCTCCCGGGGGGAATTGAAGAGCAGTCCTTCTAAAACTGACGCCCGTTGAACAAGTATCTCAAGACACGGCAGTTATGCTCAATATAACAAGCTCTGCCGTTGTGCCAAGTCTCAAACCAATCCAAAAAACTGGCACACAGACAGCAAGTTAAAAACTGCTTCAAGCTGACATGTTTCGGCTTTCACGCTGAAACTGACACATTTCACTCAGCCTTCCAAACTGGTATGCCGTTGATTTTGCTCAAATGTTTGCAAAACCTGAGCCCTTCTGTCGGGTTGCAGAGACTGTGGGAGACGGCTCCTTCCGGGGGCAACCTACATGTAGCGATACTGGCTGGGACCCTAATGTAGGGGGGCTGCTAGGGATTTTAACTGTAGTTCTGACTGGGAGGTGTGGGCACATCACCAGAGGGGTAATCTTGTACGATGGATGGCAAGGGCAGGGCGCAGGGGCAAAAGCTGCCCCCCGCTCTGCACCTGTGTCCTGAGCTGCACGCGCTCCCCTGCATTTGTTCCCGGTCCCCAGAGCCTGGCAGCCGTGTGCCGCCCGACAGATGCGGTGGGTCGGTCGCGCGCTCTCCGCACCTTCCCCGCCCACACGGAGAGGCTGTGCTGGAGAACGGGCAGGCGCTCCCTGCTCTCCGCAGTTTCGACGCTGACATCCCCAGAGGGGGCCGCTGGATGCATGGATTCAGAACTGATTTGCACACAGATCCGAGTCTCCTGGTTAATCTCCAGAGCAGATCATGCATAGAGATGAGAGCTGCATTTGGCCTGGTTTCTCCTTCCGATTCACCCCTGTTCACGACTGCAGCCGGGAACAGTTTCCTGGGAAAGGTGGCAAATGCCCGAACTTGTGGTGGCTGCACCGTTTGGCGCGGGACAGACCCAGGTGAAAACGACCAGGTTCGCCCTGGGGGACCCTTGCTGCTCCCCCAGGATCCTGAAACAGACTGGCTCTTCCCTGCAGCCCTGAAGAAATGCCCCGGCCCAACCCAAGAGCCGTCCTCCCGCCCTGCAAGCAGGGCCCCGGCTGCTCTCATCTCCTGCCCGCCCGGATTGGGGCCTGGAAGGCCAAGGGAGACCGTGGGGCGGGGAGGGGAGGGCGGCGGCCTTCGGGTCTGCCCGGCGGCCTCCCCAGCTGGCCAGGGCACAGCCCAGCTGAGGCGCCACCTCCAGGCCGCGGCCCTGGAGCCCGGCTGGGCTCTCCGTGGCGCCCGGGCGCCGAGCCGAGCCGCTGGGCAGGGCAGGAGGGCCGCGTCCCGGGCCGGCCGTGGAGCTCTGCTGCCACCTGCTGGGCGGCCTCCCGCGCCAGCCTTCCAGAGGCCGCTCCGCGGAGGTGGGGCAGGGAGGCCGCGGGCGCCGCTGCGGCCCGTGCAGGACGCCAGGCCACCCCTCCCGCTCCGCCGCCGTGGCGCAGCGTGGCGGCGGCCGAACGCGTCCCCCCTTGCGCTGCTGGCGCCCGCTGAGGGCGTCCCGTGGAGGAGGCGGGGAGGGGAGGCCCCTCGCGGTGGGGGGACGGCCCATGCGGCGTGGCGAAGGCGCCAGCAGCACGGGCACGGTCACGGAGGACGGCCGTGGCTATCGGCCCCCGGTGCTGCCTGCATGCCAGAGCTTGCCCTCGCTGTGGCGCTCGATGCCCGTTGCCGGAGACGCCAGCGGGAGGAAGCGGCTGGGCCCTCTTGCTGGGGGCCTCCAGAGACTGCTGGCCGGCCACCTGGGAGCAGGATGCTGAATCCGGCAGGCCTCTGTCCCCGCGCGGGCCGGCTTCTCCTACGTTCTGGCTTTGGCCAAGGGGAACCTTTCGTCCTCTCAGGCCTGTGCTGAGGCAGGAAGGCAGAAGCGCATGTTTTGCAAGCCACGACTTCCTGTGCGCCAGAAGACTCCGGCTGTGTAACAAGCATTCGGGGGAAGTGGGGGGAGGCTGGCCAGTTGCCCCGGGAACAGGCCGCTCTTCCCCTTGCCCTGGATGGGCGTCACAGGAGCCGGGAGCGCGACTCTCCCAGGACGGGGGAGGGCTGGCCCCCTCCCCACCTCCCACTGCCGCCCGCTGCACTTCCCGCACGGGACGGGCGGCGGCGCACCGGCAGAGCTCGGCACCCAGCGGGAGGAGGCACCGCTAGGTGCCACTGCCTGAGCCCTGCGGGGCAATATGCAGCCCACTGAAGTGAAGCCGAGGACTGGCCCAAAGCTGGCAGAGCTGGCCCAGGAAGAGCGCCTTGCCCGGCACCCCCACGGCCCCGCTCTGGACCACAGGACGGTTCTGGGCCCCTTCGGAAGCAGCCCGCTTGGCGTCCCTGGCAGCTGCGCAGCCCTGGAGGGATCTTAGTTTGGGGCTTGGTGCTGCCCAGACCTTGCTGCCCCGTGCTCAGCGCATTTACGCGATGGTTTTGTCTTGCGCAAGCTGCCACTGGGGGCTGTGGAATTCGCCAAGGGAGCAGTGACGCCCGCTGGCTCGGGCGGTTCTTGGAAGAGGCCCCGCAAGCTCACGGGAGCCGGTGGGGTCTCGCTCCCAGGCACGTGCCATCCGCGAATGGAACGTCCCCGCGCCAAGGCAGGTCCGGCCACATACCAGGGGCTGGACACGCCACGTGCGCAAGGCCCTGGCCTTCCGTCGGAAATGGGCCCCGAGGACACGGCCGGACTTCACCCGTGCGCTCGCTGGAACGCCGGCCGAGCCTGAGGCCGAGGCCGGCCGGGCGTTCCTCATGCACAGGTTGCGTCTGGTCCCTTGCTCGTTTCCGTGCCGCAGGACAGATGTTCTCTGCCTCGGAGCCCCGGTGGTACGTGAACCGGGCCAGTCCGGCTTTCCGGAAAGCGCCCCTGAGCGATCGGGCAGAGGCTCCCGGCCCTGCCCAACTCGACGGCCTTCTTCCTCAGCCAGCCGCAGGAGCCCTCCCGAGGCTGCCCGGCCTCGATAGGCCCTGCCGGGGAGGAGGCTGGGGAGGGGGGCAATCCCTGCTCGTTCGCGGCAGGCCGCAGGGCTGGGGGGGACCCATGATCCGGTGCTGCGTGCGGAACGCCATGCTCCGCTCTTGGGCGCATTCAGCGAGAGGCGCAGGGTGGCCCAGGTGCAGCGATCCTGGAGGAGCGCTCCGCTCGCCAGCCTGGGCGGGGGAAGAGTCGACTCCGCATTCAAAGGCGTTATTTTTAGCACAGCCTTGATTAAATTCTCTTTGATGTTTATTTTGAGCCTGACTTCTGGCTCACTCAGCAGTGCTGAACCAGCTGAATGGCTCTAAGTGGGTCTCCCCCACCCGCGGAAACACAGCTGCGACTCGCCTGGATTTCTGTGCATGTGCAGAGAAGCAGCTCCTGGGGGGGCGGGTTGGGGCCCCGCGCAGCTCAGACAGGAATGCTCCGGAAAAGGTCCTCCTAAAAGGTAAGAAAAGGGCTGGCACCGAACCGCACCCCTTGCAGCCACCGGGTGGGCCTGCTCTGGCCTCCCCACTGCGCTCGGACTACCATTCCCATCTCTCTGGCCACTGGCTGGGGCTGCCAGCAGTCAGGCTACAGGGCCACTTACTGCCACGAAGCACGAGTCGCCACGATTGCCTCCACTTCGCTTTGCCCAGTTCTTTGGGTTTTGGGTCCTTCCGCCAAGCACTGTGTCCCGGATGAGCCTGCCACAGCCCAGAACCCCCCCCCCCCTGCGTCTCAACAGCTGTGAGATGCCAAAAGGCAGGGGGTACGCACTCCGGCAGCCTGCCCTTCAAAACCAGGAGCAGCGGCTTCTTGGGCAAGCGGCTGTGCAGCTGAACGGGCGTGAAGTCGAGTCCCTCTGTGCGGGGGCATTTCTGCACCCCGTCTCCCAAGATGGCTGGGGCCTGGTTCCTGATCCCGAACCGGGGGGGATGGCAGCAGTGGCTGCTCACAGAACGTGGACTGGAGCCCGCTTCGTTATTTACCCTGAGGTGCCAGGCCACGCTGCTCTGCTCTAATCCGCGGGGAGGGATTCCAAAGCAAGGCGATGGAACAGAATCGGACCCCGTTCGAGAGTGAGCGAGTGGGTGGGCCGGGCTGAGAAGGGGCTGCGCTGACGGGACTATTTGCTGAAGGCAGCGTTACCACAGCTGCACTGTTAATCGGGTCAAAGAAAAAAGGCACAAAACTTTTCTCATTAAAGTACCAGCCAAGCTAACCACACCGGCGCTAGTAAAACAACATGCCCAGGCATGGAGATAAACTTTTATTACTTGGAAATGTTTCCCGGAGGGACAGAGGCATTTGGTCCACCGCAGAGAAGACATCGACCCGGCGGCTGACGGCATGGCATGCGCTGGATCGGCGATTCCAGCTGTGGGCCAAGAACCGGCAGCAGCAGATGCTCAGAAGCAGCTTCCTCGGTACCCTGAGCAAAGCGCGGTTTCCACGAGCCGCCTTCCCAGAATGCCCCCCATACCATCCCATCCCATGCGGAGCAGAACTGGATTCCCACCGAGAGCCGCCAACAGCCCCCCGCAAGTGTGGTGGGCAGAGAGGAGCTGTCCAGGCTGTGGGAACCACTCGCTTGCTGCAGGCAGGACCACGGAGTGAAGCCAGGCCTGGCCTTCTCGGAGTGTGTCTCCTGTCCGGAGCTTTGCCCGAGGACCTCCGTGTTGCCATCTGGAGGGCCACGAGGTCCTTTCTGCCCTCCCCTCCCACAACACACGCACACCAAGTCCTCGCAAGCAGCTCTGCAGTAACGGGGCAACTGGACTCGGCCCAGACGGCTCTGCTCAGAGCGCCACCACATGCAGGGATGCGGCTTCCCGCAGGCGAGCCGTCCAGCCTTCCCGCATCCGCCCTCCCTGATGCCGTGCGCCGTTCAGCCAGGGCAAGCGCCGCGCTCTCCCGCTCTGTGCCTGCGCAACGGGGCCCTTCAGCTCTTCATCAGCACGAGGCGGGCTCAGGCGGGACGGCTCCCAGCACGGTCGCCTCTTGGTGGTGAGCATCAGCGCACTGCCTGGACCATCCTGAAACATGTGAACAGGGAGGAAATGCGGCTGGACGTGCCCGAGCCTCCCTCTGCGCCGAAGGCCAACCAGGAGTCCAGGGCAGCCGTCTGTTTTCCCAGGCAGCACGTGAGGAAACGGAGAAACGTCCACCTCGGGCAGGATCCAACTGTGGAGATCCAGCGTGAACATCCACCGCACCCGCGGTGTGCCAAACGGCGCCAATGGGAGAGCAGCGCTGCGGAGGCCCCGACTGCCTGGCCGGGCCAAGGTGCCTGGGCGCGGCGCCGGCGGGGCAGCAACGCAGGCAGCCGGGGCACGGCCTGCTCCAGGCCTCTGCCTTCAGCGCAACGCTGTTCCAGACGCTCTTGCTGGCGGGCGAGGGCAAGCTGCGCTGGAGCGCGGCCCGAGCCTCTGCAGAGCATTCCGGCTGCCTGCCTCGCGCCGCAGGCTGCGGCCTGGGGAAGACTGCGTGGTGCTCCTTCCCAGAGGGCAGAGCTCTCCGGCATCATCCAGGGAAGGGGCTTCCTCGGACGGCAGCAGCCTCAACGCCTGCTCCCCGAGGAGCTGGAAGGTGTTAGACTGTCTTCTGGAAAGCGAGCTGCTAGCCCAGGGCCAGAAGCCTCCCTCAGAGACGTGCCCCGCAGCCACCGAGGACGGAGCACGTGCAATGGCTGCTGAGCCCAGCGCTGGCTCTTCGCCGCTGCAGAGGGAGGCGCTTCCATTCAGGGATTTTATGAGGAGGCACCTGCGCAGGGAAATGAGGAGCCGTCACCCTCCTCCCCGCTCTCTGGAACGCCCGCCCTTCCTTTCTTTGAGCTGGCTACACCAGAACAAGTACCGACGTGACCAGCTCCGCGTTCTGCACCCCAGCCCCTCCTGCCGAGTCCGCATCCTGGGCGGAGTGCTGCGGCCCGCTTGGCATCGGCCCGCCGAGTCGAGGACACGGCCCCTCGCCCTTCGCTGGCAGGCGCCAGGCAGAAGCTGCGAGGACGGGGGGCGGGGAGGAGCGAGCCGGTGCCCGGGGGGCCGATGGGGCCACGACTAGCTGCCGCCTCTGGGCGGGGGCACAAAGGGACAGGAAGGCGCCCTTCGGCCCTTCTCTTGGGGCAGCAGGCTCCGCCCCAGCCGCACATGGGGGCCCTCGCTGGCCACGCAGCCTTTGCGGGGAGATGCAGGGCCAAGACCCCTCGGCACGGAGAGCGGCAGCACACAAGGCCGCGCACAGAGGTGGCAGCAGCCAGCCGGCCGGCTGGCCGGCCTCCCTTCCCTGACCGGCTCCAGAGGTGAGAAGCCACCGCCGCCACTGCCGCCGCCACTCCGGGCCGCTGCCCTCCAGCGCTGCAGGCTGGCCACCCCGAACGGCGCCTCCGCGGCCCCAAAGCGGTCACCCCCCACCCCTTCCAGACCGGTCCAAGAAGGGCGTGCCAACGGTCAGGCCCTGAGCGGACGCCTCCGGGAAGCCCTGAGGGAAGCGTCTGTTTTTCTGTCGAACGAATGTGCCACGTTTCCGTCTTCGGGACCAAGAGGCGAATCCCCAGCCTCACAGGACCTTCCTGTTTCCACGCCAGGAGGTGACCCGGGGAATCCGGAAAGCCGCCGGTGGGCAGGAGCTAAGCCTGCTCCTCTTCATCAGCTGGGACCACGATGCGCTGCCTCAGCGTGCTGGGCGGCGGGGCGGAGGGTGGCGGTGCGCCGTGCTCCCCCTCGGCATCCAAAGCCTCGTCATCCTGCTCTCCACGCGTCCTTTTCGCGAGCTGAGGGGACGCCGGCAGCTTTTCTAGAAGGAAGAGAGCGCGCCTTACTGCTGGCCCCCCCCTTTCCCGACTCCCACAGGTGCTTCGGCAGCCAGGATCCGGGCCGGGGCGACCCCCTCCTTCCCCCTACTGGAGATCTTCCCGGGTCCCCCACCTGCTCTGAAGGGTGGGGGCCTCTCTGGAGCAGTGGGGGAGGGGGAATCAGCAAGAACCACCCCCCCCATCTGCAAGCAGGAAACGGCTGCTGTATCCAATGCTTTCTGGGAACAGCTCGAGCTCCGCGGTTCCCCGGCTGCAGCAAGCCGCTGCAGGCACGCCACCTCCCCCGGCTTCGGACAGTGCGGGCACAGAGGGCAGGGCCGCCACCTCCCCGGGGCAGTCTCTCTCCCTGCCGGGAGGGGGCAAAACGCCCATGCTGCACCCCCCTGGTGCCCCCAGAGAGTGCCTTCCCCCCGCTGCGAGAGGCCGCAGGGCAGGAGCAACCGCAGGGCGCCCGGCCACAACGGCCCCCGCTGCCCTTCCTGCTTCCTGAAGCAGGAAATTCAGAGCGGGCGGGCACTTTGGACAAACGGTCGGCTGAAGCGCTCGCTTCCATCTCACGCTGGCGCGCCTGGAGAGAAAGGCCCCTTCAGAGGTCGCGCAAGCAGCCCGACACGGAGGGGAGGAGGAGCTCCCGGCGAGCCGAGGGCAGGAGGACTGGCTCCTCTGGGCTATGGACGTGGCCAGGTCTCACGGGGGCCGCACGTGTCACTGGGAGCGGGGCGGCAGTCGCAGGGGCCTCTGGAGCCCCCCACTTCTAGGGTTTCGCCCGCCTGCTTTCCCGCCAAGGCAAGGGCACTCGCTGGGGAAGACCCTGGCATCGAGCCTTCTTGGCATTCTGCCTCAGACCAAGAGCCACGACGTCACGGACGGTTGTGGCTTTGCCACTGGCCGGTCTTGTTTGGCGCAAGGGAAGTCTCCGTGCCGCATGCTTACTTCGACAGGGGCTCTGCGGGGGCCTCTGCTTCTTGGAAGGGCAAAGACAGTCTGCCATAAACACCATGACCTGAAACAAGCCAGCCAAAATGGGAGGAAACGGGTTGCCACGTTAACACTGCGTGAGAGCACAGAACAGCGCGCGTCTCCCCCCTTCTCGTGCGTGCGGAACTGCCTACTTACGAGTCCCAGCAGAAGTCCCGAAAACAAGGTCACGAACGTGAAAATAGCATAGGACCCCCAGACTGGGATTCCAAGGTGCTCCGTGAGGTAGCTGTGGCAGTGCTGCAAGGGAAGGAAAGGGGCCGGACTCAGCTGAGCGGAGGCTTTCGCCGGGTCTGCCCCTGGCGCACAGGAGGACTCATGGCACCTACCCGGATCCACATGGACAGCTGGAACAGGGCCGACATGCTGCTCATCCTGCAAGGCAACGGGAGAGAGAAAACAGGCGGCTCTGCGGCGGAGTTGGCCAGCCAGGCCCCAGGGGGCACCTGGGCTGGGGATCGGGGCCGTTGCCGCCGCCGCCTCCTCCTCCGGCGGCCAGCCTCCTGCTGCACCGCGATCGCAGGGGAACGCTCCTCGCCTGACTCCGGGAGGACCCGTCCGGCCACCGCCCGAGCGGCAGGTTTGGCCTGATCTGCTTGCCTGCCCGACCCAGCAGCCAAGCCACCCGCCCGGCCGCGTCCTCTCACAGGAATCGTGCTTTCCCACCCCAGAACACGTCCGCTTAAACGTGCCGATTCCAAGCCGGACTTTTGTGTTAGACTGCCTGGTTTGGCAAGCGCCGGTGTGGCAGTGGCCAATACTGGCTTCGGATCAAGGAAGGGTCGGGGTCCACCTCAACCTGACCCAGCTCTGCTTTCCGGATCAGCCCTACCATGTGCCGGCTCACCCTCTTGCTGCCTAATCAACCGCACAGGGCTTGGGAGCATAAGGCCGCAGTTCCAAACTAGGGTTTCACAAAAAAAAAATCACATTTAAAATGGATTTGAAGATGGAGCCACAGGAGACCAACTATCCAATCCTCAGAATTAATCAGATCCAGTGTTTCCCTGTACCAAAATAAAGGTCTGCTGTTTTATTTAAAATGTTTTCTCTTTATTTCCAAACCTACGCTATGCAAAGCACTCAGGCTAGACGAGCGGGTGGGAGAAGGAAGAACACTGCGGGCTCACAATGCCTAGAAAAAATCTGGCACAGAGTTAAGGTTCAGCGGGAAAAAATGTCTTCAGAAAGGTTCCATGACCGAAAAAGTCTGGGAAGCGCCGGCATAAGGAGCAGGTGGGCTGGCCCTGCAGGTGCTCCAGTTCGCACCCACCATACCTCAGGCGGCAGCCCCTCACCTGCGGTTTGGCAGAGGCTGCCTTGCAAGAGAAGAGGGGGACCAAGTGACTCACCTGCCCAGCTTGGCTCCACCGCTCTACAAAGCTACCAAGATGGATCTGTTCAGGCACGTCTTGGACACATAAGCTGCGCTGGAGTGTTTAACTGGGTGATGTACCTTATTTCGTTTATTGCTGTGCTCTCAGAGTATTTGCTATTACACAAAGTTTCTGCAGTTTTTGTTACTCTTGACTTTATGGTGAGCCACCGTGAGAGCCATTTTTGGTGGAAAAGCGGGAGATTAGTTATATAATCTAAATTAGAGACACACACAAACAAAGCTCTGACAAACAAACACGGATTTCCCAGGTTCTGCACAAACCGACTAGGATGAAGAGAGACTTACAGGAAGGAGGAAGGGCCAAACCACGAGGACACGGGCTCCACAGACTTCCACTCCTGCTCGCTGATGAAGTTAATGAAATCAGCCTTGGTCCGCGGCCCCTGGTACCGTCTGAACTCTCCATCTTTACAGCTGCCCAAAATAGGAGTCCGTGACAATCACTTAAAATTCCCAGAACGTTTACTCAGGAGCAGCATTTTGGGGAAGGCGATCGGTTGGACTCCCACACGCCACTGAGGAACGCTGGATCCCTGATGTGCCCGTGGCAATCACACCCATCAACGCAGAGAGCTGATCCCTGGCACGCATCACGCCACGGCCACGGAAACAGGACGTGGCCACGCAAAGGGCTAGGACACCCCCCGCAGAGCCTGGGCGTTTAAGGCGTGTGCACAGCGATTCATTTTGCTGAGTTCTTTCACTGAGTTTCTAGTCGGGGTCTCTTAACTTTGCCCCTTATGTGAGCATCATGGAAGAGCAGAGCTGGATGAGGCCCGAGGGCCACTGGGTCCGTGCAGGACTCCAGCTCAGGCCTCCCTCTCAGACAGGGGTCAAGCTGCACCTTGAATGCCTCCGGCGTGGGAGAGCCCACAAGCCCTCCAGATAATGGGAGTGCTTAATTAATTGGTTTAATTATTTCAATTTCAATTTATTTATTTTTCAGTTTATACCCTGCCTTTTTCCTACAAAGGGCTCAAGGCAGCTGACATCATTCTCCTCCTCCATCTTACCCCCACAACAACAACCCTGTGAGGTAGGCTGGGCTGAGAGTCTGTGACTGGCCCAGAGTCACCCAGTGGGCTCCATGGCCGAGCGGGGACTCGAACCTGGATCGTCTGAGTCCCAGTCCCAGGCTCTTCACCACGACACCACACTGGCTCTCAATGAGGCAACCGCTTTGTTTTTTAACTTATGTTGTAAGTCCGCTTAAGGAATGTTGATGGAGAGGTGAGATACAAACATTTTCAGATCCAGTTAATCCAGTTGTGATCCAGTTAATTATTACACTCCATTAAAAGCCTGGTAGTTCAGCCGTAATCGCCAATTTGCTCCAGCACATTCAGTGGAACACCGCAGGGGTGTCATCTTGGCTGCACCAGGCCAAGGACACAGTTCAGATCAGACACGGGCTGCTGCCTCTAGTTCTGTGTGATCCAAAAACAGCGAACCACAGCCTCTGCAAGACTTTATGGGTGAGTTGTGGAACTACCAAATGGTTTCCATGCTTCAATAAAAGTAGTAGTTTTTAAAATGTGTCCAATTATACCATTATTTCCCAGGGATTCTAGCCATCTCATTTCTTACCATTCCTAAAAGCCTTCGAGCAGGAAAAACTAACCTTCACAAGTGCTATTTCTACCAAAGCTAGAAGGGAAATATTAAGCACTGAGAATTTTGCTCTGCCACATTTTGAGTACTTACTGGTAAATGGTGGGAAGTGCTGTTATGATAAACCGCCCACTGAGTCCTGCAAAAAGATCCAAAAGGAAAAGAAAGGATGAATGTTTGTAAAACATCAGTTATTTTACAGCTGTCTCTGCTACTCCAGAGTCCTTAAGTCTATCACAGACTTGAACCCCTGGAAGTTACGGTAAAAATGCTGTGCATGAGTCACATAAGCTATTCGGTAGTGAAACCTCCTGCACAGAGACTAAAAGGGTGCAGGCCCAGAGCAAAGTCTGAGAGATGCACCACGCACCACTCCTCTTCTACGCATAAGGATGCTAGAGGCCAACACGGATTTCTCACGAACAAATCCTGCCAGACTATTGACTGGGCGACGTCCCACATGGCCTGGCTGTGGGAATGCTGTGGACATGCTCTCCCCAGGCTTCAACCAAGGCTTCGGCAAAGTGCCCCGTGACACCCTGACGACCGAGCTGGCAAAGAGCGAGCTGGAGAGCGCAGTTGCAATCGGCTGCGGGATCGGACGCGGAGTGCTGTCAGCGGCACCTTCTCGAACCGGGGAGAGGCGACAAGTGGGTGCCACGGGGTCCCATGCCGGGACCAGCACTCCCCAACGTTTTTATCAGTGATTTAGATGAGGAAGTACCAGGAAGGATAATTAAAGTTGCAGATGACATAAAGCAGAGTGAAACAGCAAATACTCTGGAAGACAGAGGTAAGGTACAAGGTGATCCCGAAAGGTTAGGACACTGGGCAGAGAACAACAGAAGGAAATTCAGTGGGGACAAACGCCCAAGTCCTGCAGCTAGGGGCAAGAAACCAAATGCACTGCCACAAGATGGGGAACACTTGGCTCAGCAACGACTGCGAAGGAGAAGGATCTTGGGGTTGTTGTAGATCACAAGCCAGCTATGAGCCAACCATGTGATGCAGCTGCAAACAGGGCAAATAACCTTTTAGGCTGCATTAAGAGAAGCATCACTTCCCAACCATGTGAAGTAGTAGCTCCCCTGCACTCGGCACTGGTCGGGCCTCACCTGGCGTCCTGCGTCCAGTTCTGGGCACCGCCGTTAAAGAAAGATGTGGACAAGCTGGAAAAGGTGCAGGGTAGGGCAGCGAGGGTGATTCTGGGCCTGGCAGGCAGAGCCCTGCGAGGAGCGACCGGGAGAACCGGGCATGCTCAGCCTCAGGCAGAGAAGACCGAGGGGAGGTGGATAGCGCCCTACAAGAACCTCACAGGCTGCCCCAAAGAGGAAGGGCAAGGCCTCTTCTCACTCATTCCGGAGTGCAGGGCACGGGATAAGGGTCTTAAGTGAAAAGAAACCCCATTTCAATTAGACCCCAGGAAGAATTTCCTCACTGTCAGAGCAGAGAATGGGACCGATTGCCTGGGGAGGTGTGGGCTCTCCCTTGCTAGAGACATTCAAAAGGTATCTGGACAGCCATCTGAACAGACTGGCATAACTCAGTGGCCTGCAGTAATAGGGAGTTGAACCCAATAGCCATCTGGTCCCTTCCAACTCCGTTGTTCTATGAGGCACCATTCAGAATCACACACAGACACATCCAGACCCGGGCTAAACGTTTCAGCTGCCCCTAAGTGGATGCCTACTCCCCGAACACACGTTCAGCCGGCCTGCTATCAACCTCTTCCCCATATCGCACACGGGACATGCCCTGCTATGCGGCCGTGAAGTCAGCTCTAAACCACACGACGCTCCCCACTCCAGTCTGACCCGCAGGATGCTGGGCTGCCAAGCCCAGCAAACACACTAGCCCACGCGAGAAGCCACGGGCCCCCTCGAGGAGTTCAGACAACACGGCAAGCCACGGCCTAGGGCTCAACGCGGGTCGGCTCGAAACCGCGGGCTGTTCCCGAAACTGGATGTGTCACGCGGTCCGAAGTGAGCGAGCCCGTGAGCACGGGCGGGTCATGCGCCCCGGATGCTGCAGGCTCAGCGAGGCACGGCCGGCCGGTGCGGCTGGGCTCCCACGGCACCCTCCGCCGCGGTTCTGGCCAGCCCTACGGGAGGGTGGCGTGCACCGCGCGAATCCGGCCCGCGGCCCGGCCCCGGCCCCGGCCCCGGCCCCCAGGGCCCGCCGCCACCCCCGAGCGCCCGGCGGCCCGCCGCTTACCCGGCTGCTCCGTCACGTCCACCTTGGCGATGCCGATCTCCAGGTCCTCGCCCCACTCGGCGAAGCTCTCCCACTCCGGCTGCAGGCTCTGGCACGCGGGGCACCACGGCGCGTAGCTGCGGAGCGACGGCCGGTCGGCGCGGGCGGCGGCGAGCGACCGCCCGCGGCCCGGCCCCGTGCCCCCCGCGCGCCCCGGCCCCCC